AAATTTTGCAGGTCGCTGTGTGTTTATTTGACTGCATCATGACAGAATTTTCACGGATGATTCTTCATGGCGATGAGGTTCGTAGTTAACTGATAGATTCTTTTTTTCTTTTTGTCATAACACCCCGTTTTTTTTCTAGAATTTTAAATCGGAAATTTATGCATCATATTTAGATCTCAGATATTTAGTTCTATGTTCGGAGACTATCCCCGATGACATTGACACAGTTTCCTGCAAAGGTTTTTTAAAGGATCAACGTCTTAAACTTTCGATATAGTTGGAGGACGCCTGAGATTGAAAAAAAAGTGTTCCAGAGCAAATATTGGTGCGATTGTTAATGAATCGCATTTCTTAGAGCCAATCAGATAATTAAGATCATCATTAATTTCAAAATGGACGTAATTAAGACAGCGACTCAGAAGAAATAAACATGCTTACTGGGAGTATCTGGTGTAGAAAACATGCATAGCGTGGTGGGGCAATCAGTTGAAAATATTTTCTTACATGTATTGTAAATGTAAATTTAATGATATGTATTTAATTTTTATGGCATTATTTTAACAGATCTGTGAGAACGAAGCTCTGAGGGACTCTGCTTGGGTAAGTTTCCATTATGTAGAAGTGTTCAAAAAACAAATAACGCTCAGTTATAGTAAATAAAAATTTGTCCGTTGGATCATGGCTTATGTGCCCCTCGAACAACTAAGGCTAGAATCAAGGACTACCGGAAAAAATCCTGAAAGCTTGGGGCTCAATTTTTTTGGGAACTCAGAATTCTTTCTTTCATCTTTCCTTAATGTCTACATTCTGTACACTAGTTCTTCTAGTTTTTTAAACAGTGATTTTTATTTTATTGTAGAAACTATTCACTTCTTTCCCAAAGACGCTATTCGTGTTCAAAATCGGTAAGTCGGAATTACCAATTTAGAGACCAAAGTAAGGTTAATAAGCTTAAATACTTAACGATTTAATACCGTATCGACCCTCTAAGAATTCAGAATTTCTGCTGGAATTTTACCTGCGACTTCACCATTCGGTGCGATGTTATAACCCTTTCACTCCCAAGATTTAGAGATCAATTCTCCTCACTATTTGCTATAGTTGTCTTATAAGTTTTGATCTGAGAATTTGGTGATAAATCAAACAACATTCTTTCGTTAACATTTTTCTTACCTCCTATTACCTTCTTGCTAAATATGTGTTGATTATGTTAGGAGGTTTTGTTCACTTTTAAGGATGAAAGGATTAGAAACTAACCTATGAAGCTAATAGCAACGGAAGAAGGGCATTGCAGACTCATATGATGCTGTGTGAAAGAGATAAAGTGAAATTATGACTGCGAAAGAGTTCATATACACTGTAGAAATTGAATGGAATGATAAAAAATTGATCCCAGCAGTGCGTATAAAGATTTCTCTTCGCAATTGCTTAAATTGCGAATCATCACTTCGAGAAAGGTTTATGATTAACTCCAGTTGTGAACAACTAGGGATTGTTATCCAAAATACGTTTTCCCACATAACGGTATCCTTTTTGTTTCTCTTATCGTAGAGGAAAGTGGCGAATTCAGAGAAGTACTCCTTTCTCTAAGGTATGCAACCCATTGTCTTGAAGAGATCGTGAACCTTTTCTATGAATTGGCTTACCATTTATGTCTCTTAATGTTTGTACAGATCGCTGGTTCTCAACGAGCAGCTGATCAGGCTTTACCCAGCTGTATTTTTCAGGTCTGTGCTATGTTGTTCAAACATAATTATGATCTTGAAAACGTAATAACAGACTTTATATGAACTGGAATTATAGAAAGAGTGAGAAGAGTCCAAATCGGTGTGGAATCATATAATATCGAAATGGAAAATTGTCAATCGCGACAGTGCATGATTGCCGACATGATCGGGCAAAATGAATGAAATTGTTAAGTCCGTAGACTGTGGTTGCTTGTGGGGTGACAAAGTCCTTCTCCTTCTCGATACATTGGTAATCTTTTTAATTGCATAGTTTTTGGAGACCTCTTCTGCTTCATTTTATCGCTTTATTTTACAGCTTTTTTGCAAACTTTCCTAATGAGGCATTACAGGAGGTATTGTGCACGTATTATTTAATTGTATACTTCTATCGTTTCAATGTTATCTAATGAATGTGCGCCGCAGCATTCCCAAACTCCTTTTTACACGTCTAACAGTGGAAATTCCTCAAGCCTGCCATTTTCGTTTTTTCACTGAAGAGAAGCCCAGACGAAATTGGCTTTTTCCCCCGCTAATCAGTGAAGCTCTGTTGCTCACTTTACTTTCATTACTGATTCTTTTACCTGGTTACCGTAAATTAGTTAATGTAAGTTATGCATGCTATTCCTGTGAATTCAGTTCCTCTATCGAACAACATCACCCAGCGGACAATCTCTTTATTTACGATTTGATTGCTTGACAATGCATTGGAATTTTGAGATAAATCTGTATACTTTGTACTTATCATTCCTTGGAGTGAAATGGAATGGGTTAACCAGAGTTGTAGGAATTGTTATCAACGTCCCTATCAAGGGAAACTAGTCATCCTTGGATCATTCTGATCCACTTACCTGCATGGTAAAAACAAAAACAAAAATATGAAAATGATATTATTCAAGGATGCATAGTATTTCTAAACAACTTTATTATCATATGTGTGCAGGCAACAAAGATCAGCGGTTTTTTGACAGTCACCCTGTGTATGTACAACTCGTTTGTCTTTCTTCGGAAAGAGTGTCTGAACGGCGTGGTAAATATGGCTGCTGACTTTTCGGTGAGTGAGGCCACTTTTCTTGACTCAGTCACTGATGTGAAGGAAATTACAACTTAGAGGTCATCTGAATATTCCATCGGGTATTGGTTCCTGCTTTTAGTTCGAAATACACTTAGAGTTAACTTTCTGTAGCCACCTGTAAGACTTAGGGGAGACCGCCGAAGTCTTTGATGATGTTTCTCTATTTCTTTGGTCATTTGTTTATTTAACAAAGAAATTGGAATAAACAATGCAAAAAGAAAGAAAAACCTATTGATGAGAATCGTGCCGTTTCGCGGGTAAATACGGTACTCTAGGCTTGCTGTTATGAATTTCATGCGCGAAAAGACATTTTAGTTAACGTGGATATCTTTCATTTGTCTATTTGTCCAGCCTCTTCACTTGGATTTCTGCCGCCAAGTTACTAACTTTGTCCGTGACTGTGTGCTATCTTCACCAGTGGATCAGTTGAGAAGCTTATCAAAGGTTAAATTGTTAATAAATAAAGATGAGTAAAGAATTTGTACGTTAAAAGAAGTAAGGAATGTATGATTGATTGCCGTGTCTCTCTTCGGATCCAAAACACATGCATATGATATCATAATTTGGTAGACTTAGGGGGGGAGGATGGGCTTTTGCCTTCGGGTTTGGTTTTGAGCGCGTGCCTCCAGGTGAGAATTTTTTAGGTTTATCATCAACTTTTTCCTGGATGTGAGGAGGTTAGTTATAATGGCAAACATTTAAAGAGTATCCTTCCTATTAGTGCTGTTGTTTCTGATATTCTTGGAGTTTTGTATGTTCTGGGCTGCTTGATGTAAATTAAGGCTAATTTTTCTCGTCGTTTGCTTGTGTAGGACGTCATTTCTTCGTGTACCGCAGAGTTACGACAATTTTTGAAAAGTCAGCTGGTGAAACGACAAGGAAGATAGCAAGAAATATACTACAATGGAGAAATTTCTGTAAATTATGAACTGGATAGCGCATGGTATGCGGCTATGTCATTAAAAATATGAATAAAAAAGGAAAAACTTTTAAAAAGTTTAAAATGTTTGATGGATGAATTACTCGTTAAAAGTGGTGAGGGACAACAAATAAAGGAAGCAAAAGAGGCGCGGAATTGTAAACTTACATTCGAATGATTAGGTTCTAGAAATTACTTTTATGCACTAGGCTCTTTTTAACCATTGCAAAATGACATTCAAGTATATTAGTCGCCCATAGATCAAACACCCTCAGACGAGCGCTATTCCTCAACACTACAAAGCGGACATGCAATAGGGCTGACTGTTCCATCTCCGATAGTGCCCTTAATCAAACCCCGTCTACCAACTGAAAATGGAATCAACATTTTATCGGAAGCTCTATACGTTTTTTTTTTCTCTGCACGATCGCGTTGGAGTACATCTCAATAAAGATAATTCTTCCTGAAAGGAAAACACCTCTACAAACCGAAACAAAAGCAAACGGCATTAATTCAGTACTGTTCTGTAGCTATAGGACAGTATTTAATTCTAAGCCCACTCGCATCATTTTAAACGAGAAAGTACAAACTTTATACAGAACCTTTAACTCCTAAGAGAAACGCAGCGAGCTCGCAGCCTTTTTGCTTTCACGACTGTTGTAGTAGATCTGGGAAGGCAATTTATTCTGTGACACTCGCTCGTAAGATAATGCCATTCTTTTTATTCTTACACGTATTTGTTTTTCATTCATCTGTTCCTTCTCCAACGACAACAAAACATCCTAGCATCTTGAATTAAACTTTAATCAAGGATTACCGGTTTGGATGTAAGGTTTGAAAATTATTGAACATTACTTCAGGTATATCATCGGACATTCTCAATTTGAACTGGAACATGTCTGATCACTGGACACAGTTAAACTAATCACGTGCAAGGAACAATATTTGATGGATGATTACCTGGATTGAGCGACCAATCAGAGTGCTAATATTAAAAAAAAACCCAACCCACTAGGATATGCATGTTTACAATTCAAAAACCCTGTGTGTAGTGCGAAGACCCTCGAAAAAGACTTTCGTTTGTTAAATTGAATACTGGCAATGACTCAAACCATAGTTAGTAGAGGGGACTGGTTGGGAAAGCCTCAACTAACTATGCTCAAACTGATTTCGTTCGAGTTGATTTGACTCTATGCACGAGCCCGCGGGTTGCAGACCTGTGAAAAAATGTGTACTCCAATAAGCCATGCGCGTGTTTTGTTTGGCAGCAGTCCCAAATGAGTCGTTACTGTGGTGATGGTTGATTCCAAGGGACATAGTAGTGAACTTTTTGACTTTTCGAAGTCTTTGATAAACTTTTAATTGAACTTAGCAATTTGTGACTCCTTAGAAGATGCCTGTGAAAAAGAAAAGTGGAAAATCTAAGTATGCTAGGAAAGATTTCGTTCGATTTTAAATTAACACAGTCCAAGTTCAAAAGTAAGTCAACTTAAATGCTTACAGTCTTATTATTTATTGGAATTTGTTTCGCTTGTAGATCTGGGGGAAAAAAGAAAGGAGCGAAGAAGGTCAAGAAGTCCAAGGAAGAGCTAGCTAAGGTATTAAATCCGTTAAAAAGAGACAACAAAACACAATTTAAATCTGTTCTTGTCTTTAAATTTAGCAATATATAGAGAACTTTTAGCCCATCGATCATTGTCTTCGATGGAATACTAAAACCTCTTAGTTAAATTGAGATTGTCTAGTTTCAAAGTCAAGTTTTTGTCGCTTGCGAAAAAACATTCCTGGATAGAAACGATTCATAACATCGAAGTCGAGCAGTCATGAAAGAAGAGAGGCATAATTTGATTTCTTGTTCAAATTGACTCAAATTCAGCAAATTAATCATCACAACCCTAACATGTTTTATTATATAGACCAGGCTTGCCCTGTTGATATAATAAATATAATAAAAGATTTACATGTGATATGTTTCTTATTTAGATTTTGTTTATGTTTTTGTTTGTACATGTTTAACATGTTTTTACATATATGCATGTTAACATGTTTTTTTGCCTTCCTAGCACCAAAACGATCTCTAATTTACTATTTAAGGGAACCTGACCTTAGCACCAAAGACATGACACCATTAAAATTACTTTTAGTGAGTGAATAGAAGGGATAGCTCTGTTTAGAACTGTTGTTGATGATATTATGGTTGATCTTTGGAAAACCTGACTAGTTGACTTGAAGAGTAGTATTGAATACATTGTGTATTCATCTACTTATCAAAGTCAATCTGACTAATCTTTTAGAGCTTAATGCACTCATGTTGTGCAGGGAGTAATATTATTACCAGAGGAGTTGGTTGGTTTTGGAAAACCAGGTTTTACTTCTGACTCTCAAGCTACTGTACCATTAAACTCACTCTTTACTATGACATAAGGTTTAGACTAGTCTTTGTCGCACACAACAGGTCTTCACAGATCTACCCTGTCAAAGACATTATGCTATAGGATGAACCCTTTTACAGTTATTGAAACTTTAACAATTTGATTTTCTCTATCAGGAAAAGCTAGAGAAAGCTGCGGCAGCCTTTGAGGCAGCAGATGATCTTCATTCTGCATTTGTAGCTCGTATGGACAAATGGATGACTGATAACTATGCACGAGCTATTGATCTCTTTCGGCGATTTGATGTGGATGGTGATGGTAGCTTGTCATATGAGGAATTCTATGCTGGAATGCGAGATTTAAATGCACCAGCAAATAACTTAGAGCTTTACATTCTTGCAAAGAAGTTAGACAGGGATGCCAATGGCTTGCTAGACTACCTTGAGTTTTCCAAAGGTTTAAAATATTACAAGAAAGAGGAATGTGTTCAAGATGATGGTTTGCCTGTTCTGAAATTTGAAAGAGAGGAATTGGAACAATGCCCCTGTTGTAAACTTGGATTATGGAAACCTTCAAAGGAAAAGTTTCCTAGGTAGAGCTGACAATTTGTATTCAATAATGTATGTCGTAGTCAAGGATAATGTGACCTGATAGATAGCTCTCTGCACTCCAAACTGAAAGGTCTTATGGTTCAACACCTGACTATGGTCACTGTTGAGCTCTTGAGCAAGACACTTCACTATTAACAATTCTTTTCTTTCCCAAAAGTAGAGATGGTACCAGTTGGGGGAACATGACAAAGTGCAGGGGGAAGGGGGGTGGGGAAGAGAGTCTTTTTCATGCTATGGAAACTGGAATAAGATTAAGCAACCAAAATTCCCGTCTTAACCTTTTACTTGACTATTGCCTGTCAATTATTCCAGTTGCAAGTTGTTAGAATATGAATGAAAGGGAGGTTATCACTGAAAATTTAAAGAAATTACCGATAGGCAAATCTGTAAATTTGCTACATTTTGTTTCTATGTTCATAATCACTGAGCTATATACACAATCACTCTGAAAATTATTTCCCCAAAATGACACACAGTTACTAATGAGGAATAGCAATTTATAGTTTATAGCCACTGGAATGTGATTATTTTCAACAATTATTGACATCCTTGACATAGACACACTTGAAGTTTGGATTACATTTCAACATATTTATACATCTTATTTCTAGTTTTTACCTTCATTTTAAGCATGACAGGTTGAAAGAAATTTTCTTACTGGTAGTAGCAGTCATGTTGAATTTTCAAGAATTCCAAGCAATTTAAAATGATAATGAGAGGTACTACAGATGGTAAATGTTACTGTCTGAAAAGGGGAACACTGTATTCAGAATATTGGTTTGTGAATTAACTGGGGATTTTTTTGCGACAGGTTTATAAGCATGGAACTTCAACTCCTGACATTTGCCAACTTGCCACAGATGAAATCATATCCTGGACATTTCCAGATATTTGTCCATGCTCACATACCAGTTTATTCTGTGGAATCAATAATCAATGAACGATTTGGAGGAACAACTAGGAAGGTTGTAATATACTGCACCTCAAAAGAAGGCAAACGAATACATTTAGATCGTCACAAGACTCTTGAAGAGTGTGGCTTCACTGGTGGGCCAAGACCAGAACCACAGCTTGTGGAATTATTTTACGATTTTGATGTAGAGTTTAATGACTGCCCAATTCTTATGAGTGATCATTATTTTACATAATAATTTGCAAGAAATTGGTAAGCTTCTGATTACAGTGGATCTAGCTCAAAATGTTCTATAGTCTGTGTAGAATTTTTTTTTTTTTACTTCCGTGCAAAACTTGAATCTTAGTAAATGTTGATTTAAGCTTGTGTGATGATTGCAATATTAAGCCATGAAATAATTTTGTAAAGATAGTTTTATTTGTTAAGTTATCTGTGTGTATATCTATATTCAGAGTCTAGAGAGATAATATATTAAACACCATTAAATATTTTACTCCCTTTTCATCTACATCACTATAAGCAAGCTGTTTAAGGCTTTTTAAGTTTTGAAGCCTTTGAACTGATTTACTGTTGAACAGTGTACATAGGTTTTTAACTTTCGTGTCACTTAATCTTATTTTGTATAGATTAAGATGCCATAGGTTGAACAAAATAGAATACCATTGTTACAGAGATTAAAAGTGATTGTAGAGTCATTTACAGACAAAATTTAAAATAAACGATGTTTGATTGCATTATCATTTCGTGTCATTCTATCCATGCCTTGTCTTCGTGGTAAGCATTCTTTTGGAATGTCACGCCACACTGACATCTCAAAGAATGGCTACAGGCAGGCAATTGATGTCAACTCAGTGAGAAACTTGAAGTATTCTTAGGATGGGGTCGATGGTGGAGTGAGAGGGTCTCAATTAATAACTTTTACATAAATATTTTGAGATATTGTACAATAACATTCCAGAGAATAGTACCAACTTTCACTGTGAGTGATATGTCTTCTGGTTGTCTAATCTTTGCATCAGCTTTTCAGCATAAGACTTTCCCTGAGTTCCAAGACTATTCCTTTTGTTCTCTTCTTAAAATTTTTAGCTCATTACCAATGTTGTCTTGCAAAGAGAGTCTTGAACCCATTTCAAGTTCCAGGTTATTTCTCGAACAGCATTACTTTATTTTGTATGCATTGCATGCCTGTTTAGTAGGTGACGGAGGGACTGCTGGGAACGAAGTAGATTTTATTCGTTCGTCAATATCCAACATGGCGTACGTCCCATCTCATCTGGTGAAGGGCATCACACATCAACAGCGTGTGATGCGCTTGTACAGAAACAGTTTAAGGCATTTGCTAGATTGGGTCATAGACAGACAGACATGGAGACAAGAGGCAGTTAAATTGAGAGAGAGATTCGATGCTCACAAACACGAGAAAGATAGGAGGGTGATTCACAAGATTCTGGAGGCGGCCGAACGTGAATTTGAGAAACATAAACATCCATTCCCTTATGTTCGTAAGTACAGTGACTTTTACCTTTCTGTCCTTAAGTGGATTATATCTGTGGAAAGTTTTTCATCAAACTATATAGAAAATTTAAGTTTTGAACTCTGAAGCTTGTTCAAAGTTGATCAAAGTTTGTTGATAATATTGAGATGATGAGTTATACCTTATAGACCCGGACAGCCCTGATGGCAGCAAGTGGGAAAGAAACATACCGCCTCCTCCTCATGTAAGTGTTCTGTAAGATTTGTTCTTTGGAATGTAGAGGATAACTGTTTCATAAAATCTTTTTGATGTTCTTGTAATGCACGGAGAGACACTTGATGACCTTCACTGACCAAGCTTAAGTTTTGCATGTTTAAAGGACCTTACAAGTATTAAGTACCATTTGATGAACTCTTCGTTCTTAGACAACAGAGGTGTTAACCTCTTGGTTAAATGACAAAACACTGTACTGGTTTTTTTTCTTTCAAACTAGCCAGTATACTGCAAATTATTTACGACAGATTCTTCCCACTCTCATTACACGAGATTTGAGTTACCTGCCCTAAACCAAAATTAACTTTGCTCTCCAGAAACCATCTAACCTTTGCACTCTTCAGTCTGTTTTCTGCTAAATAAATAAATAAATAAATAAATGTATTTTGTAATCAAATTATATCTTTTGGTATGACCCACATTCCCTTGATTCCAAACTCATCATCATACTTGTAAATTGCAACACATGGAAAAAGGGGAAAACTTTGAACTGTGGATAAAGACTGTCTTTGCAGAGGAAAATCAAGGATAATTTGACTATAATATGAATTTGAAATACTAGTAGTTTGACACCTTAAAAGTGGTAATGCAGAATCTGTTTTTCTCAGCCCTGGCATTGTGAAGCAAAAATTTGGTTTTTGACAGAAAAAAAGAAAGAAAGAAGATAGGTGTCAGTAATGTTTGAAGGCAGGAGAATGGTTGAAATCAGCAAAAGTTTTAAGACACAGATGACAAAAGATACAATAGTTTGGTTAGATTATTAACAGTAGTGTGATTCTTGTAATATTTTTCTATTCACATGTAGATGCTTCATATGCTTCCCTGGGAAGAAGAATGGTACAAAGAGATGACTGAATGGGCAAATGAGAAAGTATAGATGGAAATACTTTTCTGTAAAAAGCTGCTTTTCATTTGCAAAATGTACTGGAGTATGTTCAGTTCATTATCATATTTGAGTCCTTTCATCCTTTTTTCACAACACCATGATGTCAATTGAAAGCCATTATACCTCCAGCAAGGGATGATGTTAAATGAATAAAGCAGTGTAAATTTTTATGTGAAGATTGTTGAGGCTCTCATTAAAGGATTTTTTTCTTTAACTTTGGAGATATGAAAAAAATGTTTTTTTTTTGGCCTAAGTAGATGAAGTTATCAAGGGACCATGTGAAAGGTTTAGTGAGGGCCCACATATTTAAAGTGAAATAAAAAAAACCGCTCATTCCTTGTGTGGAAGGAGGTTAAGCACAGTAAATGGAACGGTAAGGCAGGGAACACAGACACCAGGTTTGATAAATTATATCCAGTGGAAAAACCATATTTATGAATTCTTTTATTATCCATTTTTTTTAACGATCTATAATAGAGGACACTTTTCTCTGAGTTTGAAAAATATAAGAACTCTTCGTGAATGAGGGGCTTGGAAACTAGGCGGACTTTTAACTCAACATGATTAATGCAATATTGACTGAATGCTCTTCACCTATCATATTTTTGGTAGTAAGTCTAATGTAATGATGAGAATTATCATGAAGATATTTTTGCCATATAGCCAGAAAATCCCTAAACTTGACAAAACAAAGTGTAAATTGTTGATATGGTGCAAGACAAATCAAGTTTGAAGAGAGTAATATACCTGGATAATTGACACCTTAAGAAGTCTAATGACCAGCCTTGCGTGCCAATTATTCTACCGGTTCCTGGAAATGAAGGGCTGGTCCAGAGTAAATCTCACTCAGACCCACCACCAACCATTTTGTGCTTGAAAATCTTCTTTCCCGACACATACATGTTAACCCCTGTTTGCAGTCAGATTATGTGCTCGGTTGCCAACAGACACTCTGATTAATCTGATTAACTTGAATGTCATTTGGGATTTCAATAGTTTTCACGGTGTGCGAATTGTCTAGACAACTTGCGCCACCTCTCCCTGATCACGCGCGTTTTCCCCCGCTTTGACGTTAGTTGCGTCTTTTTATTTCTTCTCTCTTGTCTGTGACGACAAACGCCATCCAGGCTTTTAAAACGATAAATGAAAAAAGGGGTACGAAGGGCGAATTTAACGCTCGACACGTCAGCCTCAAAAACTACGGTGGCAAATTTACATCATCAGCTCCGTTAATAAAACCAAATGATATCTCAAAACGATAGTCACCATCACCACCAACAGTCCTTTTCAGAAATTAAGACTGACCAGTAAGGTAAAAGGGCTGAAATACGTGCATTAAAGAGACAAAGTACACTTAATGTATGATTCCGAGGGAAAACAAAACTAGCTAGTTTCCCGAGGGACCATACATTAAGAGCTTTGTTATATATTTAGACTTTACCTTAAATAATCATAGGGTACATTTGAATTTGATTAGGGCACGTGACTAAGAATCAACTAATCACAGTGCTAGTTTTGTTGAGTGAAAGTCTAGGTATGTGACAAAAAGTAATTATGACAGTGGGTCTTTGTTCCCAACACAGGACAAATGAAAGCCATCAAGTCAGTAGCTATTGTCAGTTGGAATCATTTAATTCTTCTTAGGCGAGAAGTGAACGACAAAAGTATTTTGGCTTATATCGATTGTATCGAATCAGAAGCTTAAGACCTGGAAAGGGTTGGAAGCTTCTGGTCGAATTCAGAGAGGGCTAAACACGCGCAGAATAATCAGTTGATTAATCTGTCGTAAATATGACGTCATAATACACGCTTGCGCACGGCTTAGGAAAATTTCTGAGGTCGGTGTTGAAGTTCATGAGCACGAATTAGCAATGGCTGAAAAATTAGATGCCGTTTCACTGAATAATGTAAACTGGCTCCTAATAAGGCGTTGTCCACAGGTGCCTGTTAGGTATCAAACCATCCCTAGTCTCGTTACAGAAAATGCGAAACTTCCACCCCGATTATTTCCGTATAATCTACCAATTGGACCGCGCCGACCTTCCTCGGTGATAAGTAGGCCACCTGCTCTTGGAATCGGAAACATCAGGGGATTAGAAGAGAACAAAAAGAATGAATTATCTACAGAGGAGTCAAGTGGGACGTTTCCGCCTATAGAGATAGAGAGCAAAAGCGAGAAGGAGCTCCAGGTTTTACGTGAAACGGTGAGTTGAGGTTTGAGAGTCTCGATGAGAACTGTAATTCAATCAAGGAAAGGCGAGGGAGAAGAGGGGCAAGCTAATATTCAATGGCAGGGGTCAAAAAGAATGGTTTGAGAAGCCCCTTTATTGTAGGGAACTTTCATGGCAGCTAGCCACTTCTTACTATGAGCATCCCGGCTTTATGAATTGTTATAAATCGCAGAGTAGTACCAATACTCTGGTCGCTTACTGGTAGGTAAGTAAGTAAAAATTTATTTATACAGGGTAGCCCATTCGGCTCCAAGGCAGGTCTCCAAAGGGGCCCTGTATCTTAAAAAAATTAATTTATATTAAGAATTTTCATAAACTATTACATTCAAAGAGCCTAATGAAAATACAATAATAGAATTTAAGAACTACGTTAAGAGCCTAAAAAATACAACGCAAAATCACTTTTAAAGCCTAAAATATAATTAAGAACCAAAGTCATGATAAAAAGAAATGTCTTGCTCGGCGGCAGATTGTCTGAATCTTTTCACTCTTCACAATTTTATTAAGAGTTTGTTAAAAAATTTGTACCAGAGAAAAGAAAGGTCCTTTTCCCAAAATTCTGTCAAACGTTTGGTAGGGATAGCCTCATACTTTGCCTTATGATGTTATTGTAAATGTTGGAAATTCTTATAAAACATAATAAAAAATAAATAGGGACTAATGAGTGAAGACAGAGAAAAACGAGTTTAGCCAGTGCAGCTGCTCTATTGGTGCTCTTTTTGTGTGGAAACGTGTCAAAAATCGACAGTTGTAAGATCAACAGGCACCTTTCCCGAAGCTTATTAGAAATGATTTAGTGGAACTGTAAGCGTTCTTTAAAGCTCACGACAGACCTGTTTTCTTCCCAAAAGCTGCAAATCATCTTCCACATGATCGGGTTTTTAAAGGACTTTAAAGACAAACTCTCGCTGACGAGGTCTAACAGTTATCGTTCGTTTAATTGTTCATCTTGCTTTTCGCAAGAGTTCCGACAGAGCCTTCGTTGGAGACGAGGAACTTCCAGCGCGTAAAAACGAAGCAGTCACTTTGCCTGAACACGAGAAAAATGCAGATCTGGTGAGATATCGAGCTGTTAGATACGAGCCTAGGCCCGAAATATGGCAAAAGGTTGCGTGTGTCTGGGACCAAGTCCAAACAAGACCCAATCAGTTTCATCAATACGAGTCCGACAGCTTATTTCCCGCCATATCAGCGTCAACTGTTAGGTACGGAAACAGCAGGTTATGTAAATGAGAGGAATTAATGGTCTAGAGAGGTGTAAGAGAAGGAGAACTGAAGAGTGGCCTTTATCTATAAATATCCAAACCATAATAATCACAACGATAAATCAAAAGAAAGAAGACTGAAAAGGAGCCAAGAACTCAGAATAAGATCGAGCAGACTGCTCAGGAAATTGGAAAGCACTTGATTTTGGTTTCTTGATTAATTGGTTAAGAAAGTTTTCCATACCCTTAAAGTGTGGTCGCCGAACGAAGTAAAGCAAAACCATTTTCAGCTCCTAATTAACAACGAAAAAGAGTCAATCAAAAATTGTCCGCAAGACCAGAGTTGGAGGCATGTTTTTATGCCTGAATAAATTAATCCGAAATTCTTTAGATTCTTCATGAGAGTCTTGGTGTCGAGAAAAATGAACAGTCATCTTTCCCCAACCACGACTGAGCTCAAAAACTTTGAACCTTACCATGAAGTTTTGATATTCTCTCCTAGATCAGAAGAGAGGGAGAAAGAACAAATCAAGACAGTTCAACCAGCAGAACAAACGGTAGGAATGCCAAAATTACCGGAAGGAGGAGAAGAAAGAAATATAAAATTGTAAGTTGACTGTGAAAAATAACTTGATCCAATTTTTGCTTTGATGCAAAAGTGAGAAGTCCGTGAGCTAATTGCAGAAACGTGAGAGGATTGGGAATGAATTGCTGCGCGTGGTGCGTTCTTTGGTCCCTTGAGTAGCTACTCATAAGTAACTTCTTAAAAAAGATGATGGCAAAATGCGAATTTCTTGACGATTCTACATAATTCATAAGTTTTCTATGGGAGAAAAATGAATATTTTTCTGATGATATACCGCTTTCCGAAGAAGACATTCCGGGTTCAAAACTCCCTGAAGATGAACTGGAAGAATGTAATAAAAAAGCCAACTTTAAAGATAACTTTTGTGTCGAGGAGCGAAGACAACTGGAAGGAGGGGAGTCTTGGTACAAAGGTCAGTGAGGAGCTTCACTGAGTTAGAGATAAATATTTGATTCAAAACCTGCAAAATATACTTGACTCGATGAAATCTTAAGTTAAGACAAGTTCGTGAGTTCGCTTTGAAGACATTGTGGTCTTTCTCTCGTTTACTCATTCTTGCAAATAAAATGGCGGTATGTTCTACAACTTCTGCCGGCTCAACGTCTTCTGACCATGCTTTATACTTTAAAAGATTCCACCAGTGGTGAAACTCACCTATGAAAACTTTAAGATCCAGATGAAGGCTTGAGACGAAAAAGAAAACAAAGCTTAGAATCCTTGAGGAAATAACATCGGTGCTATTTGGCGGTACATGTTTTAAAAGTGTGATGCTAACAACCACCTATCAACTGTTAAGCTTCTTGTGAAAAAGCTTGAACCACGCGTGGCAATTCATTCCCAATATCTTCCCACGTTTCTGCCAATAGCAATTTCTCGTGATCGTCATTGCTAATAATCGATTTTTTTTTATGCCCAATCATCAACTTTTTTAGTTCTGATCCTCGACACGTCCATGCTGATGATGATGAGATGATGCGTTGTGTTTTTCTTCGTTTTAACCTCACTGTAAACAACTGGTTTCTTCTCTCTCACAAACAGTTTCTTGTTCTCACAATTCTCGCACGTGGTCAAGTCCAGATATGGAAATAACTTATGCACGGTCCTCCCCACATGGGAGGCGCGAGCTGAAAACTCTCGCAGATCCTTTTTCCAGGATCAAGGATGGGCTCGGGGGAGAGATCCCTTTTCTCCTCCCCCTTCCCCCCTTGCTCTTCCTTTCTCCACTTTTGGGGAAACCTCGGACCTTTCTTTCTTTCTTTCACTAAGAGAAACTACGTCTTTCGTGCGTGTCATTTACGGTGATATTTCATACTTAACATTCATTGCTTGCATTTCAGCACCAGACCCACTCCAGGGTACGGAGGCTACATCAGCCGATATCCAGAGGAACCCAGACCTCCTCAGGGATCCTGGGATGAGGTTTTTGTAAACTTTTCTAAGTTAACTTACAGGTAAGGCGTAAATGACTAAAATTAACATCGAATACCTCGAATAAGAATTATGCTCGGGAAACCATATATTAATCATTTCTCCGCCGTATGGATGCCGGAAATAACGACACTGACCGCTTTTTAAGGTTTTATAAACTGAACTGAGCTCTTAAACATCGTTTTGAACCAGCAAAAAAATCGACTCCGCACGCTTTATGAAAAATTGTTTCTTGACTTAAATGATGCTCTTGCGCCAATGTGGCCAGGTTTTTTTTCAGCCGCGCTCTGTGGTTTTTAGTGTGCCGCCTGGTCACTAATGTTAGATCAGTTTTTACACTTCCTCTTTCAATTGTGTGTTGATACACTGTATACGCTTTCTTTTCATAACGAGAACCAGTCAAAAAGAAGAGAATATATCACATGTACAGAGCCAGGGAGAGTAAATGTTATTAAGTGTCTACCCTAATGCATGAAAACGGAAGTGAACCAGTTCCTATGGTTCAGGAGGTTTGCGTCTGACTTGCTGAGAAGATGGAGAAAATTGGTTGGATTGTTAAAAAAAAAAAGAAAAAACGAAAAAAATAAAAATAAAAAGACTCTGCATCCCGGTTTATTTTCGTGACCTAATGGAAAATCTTGCTCTTGCCATTTTCTCTTACCTTTGAATCACTTTTTTTTCGGTAGATCATATCCATCCTACGAATACACAAAGGAGGAATTTGCTCACGAGGGACCACTGAGTAGACTTGTCACCACTACCCACCCCTCCAATCCGTTTAACAAAGTTGATAAATGGAGCTCTCGACCAAAGAAACTTTGCAAACGCGCTGACCATTCAAAATTTATTTTTGTCAATTAAAGATTTTCTGATCGCTTTGTAGTAATAATAAACTTTCTTAGGTGACGAATAGGAAAATGTGTCGTACAGTGTTCTCAGGCATTTAGAGTTTCTAAGCATTTATTTCGTTTAGTTAAGCAGAGAGGCCATTTTGTAAATTGCAAGCTGATTTTTTGGAATATTTTTTTCTTTGGTTTGTTGCCTAGAACTCTTGCAAATGATTTTGAACCACTCTTTTCTAAAACTAAATGAAAAGGGTTAGTCAATGTAAATACAACTGAAATGAATTGTTTTCGTATCAAAAAAGAAAACGAACAAAAACATAGTGAACAGGTGTATCAATGGAGACGGGCAAGAACTAACATAAAATAAACACTGTTTTGTCTGAGGCGATATTCGAAGGAAACATTTCACCTAACAAACCTGTGCAAATTGAATGCAGAATGTTCATCGATATCATTATTGTATGGAAATGAAAACTTGTTGACGAATTTTAAACGATCTGTATCGATAAGTTATTATTCTCCTTTTGAAGTTTGGGTTAATTTGGATTTCAGTCGTTTCGTTTGTTCATCAGAAGGCGATAAAAAGTGCAGAACTAATTTCATTGAAAGGAAGATTTTCGCCTAATCGCCGCGGATATAATTTATCCGTGTATTCCCGTAAAGCTGAACAAATAGTAGGAGGTGAAAGGAGAAACTGAGATCTCTTCATCAGTTGTTCGGGATTCATTCATCTAATCCAAGCTGAAGCGTTGAAAGGCTTTTCCAGTGTTTGGAAAAAGTAGTGTATTCTACAAAAGACTAGAGTCCCAAATTCAGGCAAGTGGCTAAGAAAGTTCGGCTTTGGCGTAATATTCTGTCGGGACATTTCGCCCGCTTCAAAACATCGTTCTCTTCCATATGACTATAGCTTAAAAATGGAAGGATTTAATCAGTCATCAATCGACCATAACGTTACTGCGAATTGGGTTAATTCAAACCATTCTAAATTTACTATGAATTGTCTTTACGTGGATTTTAGTCGAAGCGCCATTGACAAGTTCTACATTACCTACATCTTGAGCATTGTTCTAAACTCTGTTTGTGCATTGCCAGCAAGTATACTAAACATTTTGGTCATATTAGCAGTATGGAGAAAATCCCAATTACACAACCCTTCAAATTTACTACTCAGCAATTTAGCTTTGACTGACTTTGGCGTGGGTTGTTTGGTGCAGCCCGTCTTTGCCGCGCACAAAATCGCCGCTCTACACGAGAATATTCCAGTTCACTGCATCGCGTCGCTCGCCAGCAAGACCTTGGCTTCACTTTTATGTGCAGTTTCTCTTCTTACACTAACTGCTATTAGTATCGACAGGCTCTTAGCACTCGCATTAAGCGTGCGTTACCGCACTGTGGTTACCATTCCGATTACCACGCGCGTCGTGGTACTTCTGTGGTTAGTAGGCATTTTAGTAACCATTCCGTTGTTTGTCTACCCAATGAGTTTTCTTTATTGCATGATCTTAGTAATGGTGATATGTTTAACAGTTACAATCATCGCCTACACTAAGCTGCTACATCTAATTCACCGACACAAGACAAAAGTAGGGGTGGATACGCGGCAAACGACAAGACAACAGAGCCAAGACACAGCCGAAATGGCCAACATTGCTAAATACAAGACCTCCATTCGTACTGTTATCTACCTGGTTATCATAATGGTGTTGTTTTACTCGCCATATCTTGTAACAAACATTGTGCTGGTCGCAGTGGAATCGCGCAACGACGACCGTTTCAAAGCAGCTTTCAACATTACTCACAGCATTTTGTTCATGAATTCGATCGTGAATCCCGCTTTTTACTGCTGGAAGATAAAAAGCATCCGAAACGCCGTCATCGAGATGCTCCCTGAAAGATTCCAGGAATAAAACTAAAAAAAGCATCGAAAGTTGTCTTTGCCTGACGAAATAAAGAACAGTGAAGAGTACAAAGAAAGGATTGTCGTCCAAAAGTATTCATTTCCACTAGGGACACTAAGTTTCACTTCAAAACTTGTAAACCTTACAGGGTAGCAATGGGGGTCCTGATTCAGTTTCACGCATGAATATGAGAAAAATTCACGCGTCACGTGTACTTTGAACAGTATTTCACGCGTCATAAATTTAAAAGGGAAAACTTCAAATCTCACTTTACCTTGCTTTCTGTGAAATTAACGCGTCACAGATTAATTGTAGACTTTATCACGCGTGACGTATAAACACTTTACTGCCCTTACTATTAAGAACCAGCTGAAAGCCTTTTTATTTCCTACGCCCTGCGATTTACACTGTGAAGTATTATCGTTCGTGTCTCTAATTGGATGAATGATCTATTTTCACAATGTAAATCTCATTATGTATGAAATAAAAACATGGCAACTCGTAAATAAAAATCGTTCGTGCGCTCTTTCCATAGAATAATCTTTGTAAAGTTGCCTTTTTTATTAACCAAAGGTATCAGTCGCAGATGTAGAATACGAAAAACGCAGCTTTTGCAGTATTTGGAACAGCACTTTAATGGACGTACTAGTGCAAAAAAAGTGTGAAAACTTGTGGGGAGAGAAATTGTACTCCGAGGATTCCACCAAGAATCAAAAAGCTCCGAGACAAAATTTTGTCATGTAAAGCATGAAATTTTGCGGTTTTTTAATGTTTGTGGATTTTGCGCATTGTACTTGCGTGTAGACCCATCAAAAATGTCCATTTACCATACGTGTAGCTTACCTCTGTACAACTAAACAAGTAATAAAAATTGTAAATTGCACGTTCCCTTCCTTGTCAATATTCTCTTTCTTGAAGAGAAAATCGCAAAAAAATCTCCCAACAGGATTCTGTCATTTCGAACGGAAAACATTCCCCCCCCCCCAAAAAAAAAAAAAAAAAATTAGCACTCTTCAATCCGTTGGGCAAAATTTTCCAACAAAAACGTTATCTAAAAAAGAAGCAAGTTGTGTACGAATGTCTGATGCTCATCCAACAACTGCTTGTGTCGAACGTAAGTGATACATCTTGACGACGGAACAACCTAGTTTAATAAAGGATTTAATAAACAAGGTCTGAGTTAATTAAATTCAACGGATTCGAACGGTTAATATTGTTGTTCGAAGTCACTCTGCTCCTTGTTCTCGGCCATCCAGGCACGTTTTTTAGCCTCCCTAGTCTGTTACCACTCTCGCCCCTCACCTTGAGTTTTTGAAAATGAAATTTCTCTTGTAAGGGAGATGTACAAAGAAGGAGGGGGGGGGGAGAAGGGTTAAGGGAAATTTGAACATGATTTACCTCTTGATTTTTGTTTATATCAAGTGAACAAATTCTGTTCTTGGGCTGGGGGGAGGGGGGAGGGGGTATCAGGGATTAAGCGAAATAAATCTGCCAAGGTTCAGCTGAGCGAAAGAGGATGGCGGGCGTTCAAAATAGTTTGATTGAATAGTTTGATTAAAGTAAAAGAAGGTCACCTCGAGAAAGGATGGGAAAACGCAAGGAATGTTCTTCGTACGTGTTACTTTTAAGTTAACGTTAAGATGAGGACGAATTTTCGTAAAACCCTCAAAATCAAATCTCTATTGAAGCGTTCGAAGAATGTAACGCCGATATTTTCAGGGGGGGAGGCAGATGCTTTTTGGAAGTCATATTCACAAATATATCGTCGTGTTACACGACCTTTGATGTCTCCAAGTGTATCCTCAAGTGTCAACATAAGCAATCCCATAATAATCATGTCCTTCGGAATTGAAACATTTGTAAGAACATAACAGTCCTCGTACTGGAATGATTCCTGTCTTTGTTCTTGTTCGTAGAATCTGAAAAGAACACAGAAATCCAAATTGAAAAGAATTGAATTTCCACCCAACTTTAATAAAATAGTGTTCGTGAAGTCGTGACAAGCTTATTTGATGAGGTTAAAGGGTGATTGACTGGGCTTTTGAATTGAAATGGTTTTGCTTTTTCAATCTATCACTCTTCAAGCCTGCAATGAAATTTATATTTCGAGCCAAAAATTAAATTTAGTATAGGTAGTAACATGATTTCGAGTACAATTTGGTGTTAATAAGCAGAAGAAAAATTTTCAAAGTCAACAAAATTTCACGAGTCCGTAGGGTGAGTGCAATTTGTGGTCTTTGAAAAATTTCAAGTGCTTAGTTACACCAATTGCACCAGAAAACATGTTATCACTTATTAATAATTGACATGACCAAAGCATCACAGGGAGTAAATACAGACGAAGTTTTGAAAGCGCGTACGCTACTTGCAATTTGCACACGTGTAACAACTTTGCAATCGTGTTACACGAAAAATGCGCTCGCTTTCAGCCAATGAGAAGCACGTAACTTTTTCATGTATATTGTTAAGCTACAAATACAAGAGCAGAATCGATGATACGGAAAAAACAAGAATTCGACTGAGTGTTTCAAGTTTTCCGCGTTCAAATTAATTCTTTGAGGCCTTGAACTCCCAACAGTGGATGCATGTTCATAAAGTGTGGAACGGAGAACGGAAACGGAAACGGGAAACGGTAAATGCAAAAGAAAAACGAGGAACAGAAAAAAGAGAGCGGAAAATAAGGAACGGGAAATAAGGACGGGGAATATTGTTTTGACTCGCGGTGTTTTTGGGCCGGTTTCATTAACTTCGCACTTTCAACAACTGTGCAAACGACTAACATTCAAGGTGAAAAATTATAGAATATTGTGACGTACTTTATGGGCATCCACAAAGTGTACACACTCCAGCCAAGTATTAAGGAAAGATTGTCCACACACTGCACATTCACTGGCGTATTGTAACATCTCCTGTACCTTTGGGTAATGGCGTATTGCACGCTTTACAAACGATCGCCTGCGATAAAATGGAACGAAACAGAGACTTTGAGGAAAAATTAAAAATGGAGGCAACAACGATGATCTGAATTCAAGCTTTTTCAACTCCGGCCAGCGAGGAATCGTGCGCGAGTTCTTTAAAGCTGATTAGATAGTACAATTACTAAAGCTCAGATTTGTATTCTTTGTTTCACATTTTGAAAATAATTGAAAATCTTTTTCCTCTTTACCTCCAAGGTCAAAAATATTAAATATTTTTTTGTTTATCTATCTATATCATTCACCTAAATATTTCCCAACGAAATCAACAGGTGGATTGACTTACCCATTTTTGAGATCCTTCAACACTGAGCGAGCTGTAATCTCCTATTAAGTAACAAATCAATCAATGTTAGGGTCACGTTCAATTATTCTACCGTGTTTACCAAATGATATGTTAGAATTATCGTGCTTTCTTAATGCTTGTTTTTTTCGGAATAAGTCTGGAAAAACAATTTTCGGTAAAAAGGCAAGTATGCAAGTATGAGTATGAGTCAATTCAATTCATTACGTTCTTTAGTTTGCAAACGACAAGACGGACAGATTTAAACTTTTTCTGGCTAAAAGAACAGTTTACTACTACATATTTAATCTAAAATTTAATTTATTCACCTTCAGAGTCAAAACTTCATCTTCTTGTTGAGAGTGAACAGGAATATGTTGCAAAAGATTGTTTTCTTCACAATAAAGTTCCTTAAGGGGAAGATGCGCCAACTAAAATAGTAAAATAAAACAATTTGCTTTGGACAATGCAATTAAGATGCATGAAGTAAAATTACTAAAAACAGTGAACAACTTTTGTAGCTTTTGACATCATGTCAAATTCCACAAAATAAAAGATCAATGCTTTAAATAAATCTGATAGACTGTATTTTAATAAGTTGTCATAACCCCATAAACCAATACTAAGGTGATGGGCAATGGGCAAAAGGCAATGGCCAAACAGAACAAGGAAAATTATTGACCACAGGAAGCCGGAAATAACTCAACGCATGTGTAAACAGGAGTGACTATTAGTCACAATAGGTCTGATTGGTTAGAAGGACTGCATGACATTTCTGGATCAATCATAGAGAGATTCAAAGGTTCTCATACATATGGTACACAGGTTAGGCAAAACAAAAGGAGAGCTTTTATCAAACCTCAGCTGGGAATATTCTAAGTCTATTGGCAGACACATCCAGTACTCTGAGCTGGGTACACTTTGATAAACCCTGTCAAAATACACAAATGCTGACCATTTTTCACATAACCTACAGTACAAACATGTTCTACAGCTGGCTTGAGAGTAGAAGGGTGATATCAACTGAAAGCTAAAAAAATGCTCAATGAATAAACTTAAGATACCCTACTCAGCTGAAACTGAAACAAAATTGGGATGGTTTGTTTAATAACTTAAAAGTATATGGACTATCAAAATTTTTACTTTGGAAAATAATTCAAGAATTCTACCAGCTAGTTTTGTACAAATAAACAAAACAATAAATGTAGCATGCTGTACAACAAGGGTCCTTGGTAGTAAGACATTAACATTTTATAACAAATCATTAGTTCTAATGGTCAGTCAAGTAACTAACAAACCTCTGGCAACTCTTCAATAAAGTTTTTGTACACATAGAGTTTTGTAAGATTCCTAAGAAACGCCATGTCTTCTGGAAGACTAAGTTGGAGAAAACATGAGAACTACATTAGACCTAGATTCACTAGACTTAACTAGACCTAGATTCACATGGTGATCAATGAGCTCATTTGAAAACTGCAGCTTACAAAAAGCTCACTCAATTAATAAATCTACTCTATGAAGTGGGCTGTGAGTACAGACGCCTTTTTGGAATTGTTATCCTACACAATTTTCCCCATGTGAGAGACACTTACAATGATAAATAATAGAAAACAAAGTAGAAAAAAAAGGAATTAATTTCTTTAGAACCAAAAACAAAGATGGTATATATTGTACCTTGATATCTGATTATCAGCAAGATGTAGTTCTGTGAGGTTGATCAAGTGACAAATCTCTGTAGGAACACTGAGTAACTCATTGTGATCTACACTGAGAAACTGTAATGACACCAACCTGAGATTTGTGAAAAAAATAAAATAAAATAATAACAAATGAAGAAACGAATAAATAAAATCAACAACAAATCCAAAATGTTGGTGCAAATAATCCTTCAACATTGTTGAAACTAACATGATGAGCCCATTTAACCCCTTAACTCCCAGATGTGATTATTACATTATCCAGAAAAGTAGTGATGAGAATACTCAAACTAATCAGGTAGAAATAGTTACCTTGATCCACCACCAAACTCTGGCAACTAATTTTTAAGGAAATGTGCAGCAGCTAATGGGGATAATTGAAATTTCAAATCTTTGAAGTTAATGGGGCAATCACAATGTCATAAAATGCTGCATGATTTTGAATGAACTTTGATTGCTAACAACCATTGACTTCAAGCACATCTTGAAAAAACTACTTTTGTTCTCAAATGTGGGTAACACTATTGAATTTGTTTGGCCACCAAGTTTAAAATTTAATCGATCATCAATTAGTAGTTGATGAGGGAAAATATTGACTGAAGTAATTATTGAGAAAAGAGAATATGAAACAAATTAATTTTATACCTGTTTATTTCACTTGGCAATGTTTTCAGCTGATTTCCATTCAGATTTAAAAAAGTGAGTTTTTGGAGCCCACCTGAAAAGATTCCATGAAATAATTGGTATAATTCCGAAAAATATAATTAATATGACGTTGCTTTAAATGTTCATGTTTATTTATCGGCTTGTATTTAGAGTACTTACTGAGGACAACAGAATTGAGTTCTCTTAACTTGTTATTAAACAAATGTAGCTTCTGCAAGCCAGCTAAAAAAGAGAGGACTTCTGGAAGAGCTTCTAACTTGTTGTTCCCAAGGTTTAAGGATTCGAGCTAAGGAAACGAATCGTAAACAAACCGGCTGTAAGTATGTAACTTCAGAACAAGAATTCAAAACTTAAACTTCAATCTTCTTACATATAACTCAGGTTGACAATGGTGCTACGAACAATGCTTGGTATTCAGTTCTCTACCTCAAAACCTTTATCTTGCTACAATAATGAAGAGTTTTTTTGTTTTCGCGAACTTTTAGCTTATCGTATTCAGTTGAATTTAAACGTAAACATGCAAGACTTGGTAAAGATGTCACCTGTTTGAGAGAAGAAAATTCATCTGGAAGGTCCGTTAAGGTATTGTTTTTCAGGTCTACGGTTTTAAGGGAAGTTATTTTTCCAATTATTGGTGGAACGTTCCGTAAGTTCTTGTTACAAATGCTGAGGGACTTAGGTTTTCCTTTGGTCGCGTTCAATAAAATTCTGTCCGCCATTTTGTATCCATGTTAGCAATGCTCGCGGGCTCGTGATCCTTAAACTCAGTTGAATGTTTACAGGACTGTTTAGAGGATAGCGTGAGCGTCGAGTGTAGCACTTTGGCTCTGCACAAAGAATTTAAAGAGAATGTTTCAGGCTTCGTCGTGAATCTTTAAACATGAGTGGTGTATCATTTGTATCAGAGACCGAAATCGAGGATGTACGCAAAAAGAAACAGGAAGAATGGGAGAAAGTCAGAAAGGAAAGCGATCCAATCGGTAAGCTCAATTATTTGGTCGAAGATTTCCTGGTGAAGGTCGAGCAAATCAGGCGCAATATTTTTATTACGAATACGAATTATTCGGCGCCTAGTTATCTTTTCATCGTGCAGATCCTTTAAGGTTTTTTTTTTTCGAATATAGTTGACTAGACAATTTCGTGTGGTGAAGTGAAGTGTTGAGTTTCACTCTCTCGCCCCAGGATCTCCTCGTACGTAGTAAATACAAAGGGTGATATTTTGATGTAATTGTTCGATTACCTTCCTGTTTCATTTTTCTTTAATTAACCATATCCAAAAAGAAAATAACAATGTTAACAATTTGAATCAAGGATCTGAAAATGGAACCACAGCAATTTATGAGATTTTGTATGGTATATATGCTGAATTATAGAATGCATTCAGGCCTGTACATTAGGCCTTATTTTCACTACTGCTCAAGTAGTGTTTATTACTACAAAGATCACCTCCATATTCACAACTAAATTGCCTGCTATACTCTCCCACCAATGCAGCACCACAGTTTCTTTTATTAGAAACTTATCCCCCTTACTCAAAAAACAATGCTGTCAATTTCATCAGTCCTAATTTTACTGAGAAACATTTATCAACTAAATTTCTGTTGATCTCTATGTAACAAATAGTAAATCAGTCTGGGATTAATTGTTAACAATGTGGCAGTTTGTTTGGGTTGGCCTTTGTGATTGATTTCTTTCTTAGTGTTTTAAGGAGTGAATTTTTGAGCTGAGCCATTCAGCTGAGCTGACTCTGTTTTGCTTAGTTTGCTACTCAGTTTTGTCCCAGTATTGTATGAAATGAGCCATTATGAGAGCCAGCTTTGCTTGCTGTGATCTTTGCACAATGAACACTGTCCTAAATGTTCCCAGGTTAAACTTTCTGACAGCATAATGACTACATTTACTCGGTAAATGGGTTCCAGGTATGCAAGCTTTTCAGAATCGCAACTGTGAACCATGCTGAACTTTTCTCTGCGTATTAACCCTTTAATTCCCACAAGTGACCAAGACAGAATTTCTCCTAACAATGTCAATACAATATCAAGCAGACAAGTGATGAGAATAAAAGAAAGTCTTAAAAAGGGGATTATTAGTTGATCCAATACCAAATTCTCCAAACTAACATCACAGGAACCATATGGCAGACAGTAAGGAGAATTACTAATGAGATCTGGGAGTTAAAGGGTTAACGCCTGCAGTGCTCATTGAGCACAAAACCAAATTTAACACTAGATTTTCAAACTACCCTTATTTCCAAATTGTAGAGTGCCCTGAGCCAGTTCATGACAATAAGACTTTGTATGAAAGACTACAAGAACAAAAACAGAAAAAACAGGATGAATGGGATGAACAACATCAATTGAGTAAGTACCTTGTGTTTCTTTTTCAGTGCTGAGTGTATTACAGGATAGGTTTTGAGCCTGATTAGAAACAATTTTATTCAGAGTTTTCTTTGTAACAGACTATCTTGATGTATTTTGCCCTGAATAGAATAAACATCTCCAAATTGTTGTCTCATTAAAGAAAGTTTATCTGAAATTATGTGACCAAAAAATTGAATGGGTAATATTCTGCACTCTTGTGAAAGATGATAACCGAGAACTAGTTACAAACAGTGAGTAATGAAGTATCCATTACAATCTCTTCTGTGAGAAAAAATTAATTGTGAAAAAAGGTTATCATCAAGAATGAGGAAAGTAAGTGACTTATTATGAACTAAATGAAGTTATTCTACAGTCAATGTCAACAAGATTGTTGGGTTGACTTCTCTATGGCTCATGATGTTTAGGTGTGTATGTTGTGGTTCAATTTTTTCCTTAGCTCAAATTTCATTTTCTTTTGTTTTTGGGTATTGTAATGTATGTTAATGAGTTCGAAACAAAGGAAAATAAAATTTGAACCAAGGATAATATTGAACCACAACATGTATATTGTATTCAGCTATATTTTATAAGAAATATTAATGTGTACTATTACAGCAAGAATTGAGGACAAGTTGGTTAAACCACAAAGGTCCAGTTGAGTAAATCAGAAATCCAGTTGAGCATTAAGTACACTCTCAATTAGTGCCATGTTGGATATAAATGACTCACCACGAAAAGTATATCAAAATGCTAAGCACTAATAGGCTAAATGTTGAGATGTAATTTTGAAGGTGATGCCCAAACATCATATCCATATATTGCTTCTGTATCTTGAAAAATATCTTTTTTTGTTTAGAAAATATGATAAGGGGCCTTGATGGTGATGAGACAGTGTTTCTTGACCTGGTTGCTAAGCAACAAGAGGAGATAGCCAATCGCAGATTTGATGAAGAATCACAAGAAATCAGAGAGTATAGGGTATACATTATAGTTATTGTTTCCATTTATCTTTTTTTCTGTGGTCTTAGTCTTTGTGTCTAGAGCTGATAAGGAAGGAAAGCAATCACACTGTCTGGCCCTAAGTCATTTGTGACTCAAATTTCCTTGTGAGTCCCAAGGAGATTCTGATGTTGCATTGAAAGTCATTAAAATCTTTATTCCACATATTCAATTGATTAATTTCAATTTATCATTTCCAATACAAATCTAATTTGATAAGCAAAGTTTGAACCTAAACTATGCTTAAGCAGGCAGAATTGGTCATCAAATTTTCTTTCTTTTGTTGATTTAGGATGCAGTTTCTCAGTTTCAGAGTGCCATAATAGCTGAGCCAGCAACTACTAAACCAGCTGGGTCAGCAGTATCTCAACGAAAGTCCTCACAGGAGTCTGGGGCCAAAAAAAGTCAACTACAACTTATAGCGGGGGCCATTAAAAGAAAAAGGTATGAATACTACTTCATATAAGAGAAGAGAGCACGAATCAGCTCATTTGTTTCATCAAATTTGTCACAAAAAGGTCTTACAGCATGCATATATGTTTTGATGCATGGAAATATTGTCACATGCAAGCATGCAATCAATTGCGTCTAAATATATGCATTTCCAAATCAAATGCAAAAATATGTCTTTCCTCTCTTCTTTGCAGTAGTAGCAGTAGTCAAGAGTCTCCAGAAAAGAAGTCAAAAGCTTCCAACGAGTTTGAGAAAAGTAAGAATTTTGCAAAATTGAGACGGTTTGATCTTCTACAACTGCTATGAAAAAATCAGTTATTTCAAAAAATTTCGGGCGAGTGACACGCTGCGAAGCCCTTCGCGTCTATCTCGCGTTCACTTCGCCTCACGCTCACGCTCACCTCTGCTCCCGTCTGGAAAATACAGAAAATTGACACCTGTTCTGAAGGCTTAAAGACGTGTGATTTTTATTATTTTGAGAGTGGGTGAACAACTCAAGAAATCTTTTGCATCTTCTATAGAAAAGGAGGCACCTAACAGTGCGTAGTCCTTATCTGGGAGTTTGTTGTTATATTCAGTAACAGAACACGCTTTTGAGCTCAAATCCCATCTTATTCCCCACACAGTAACGTCAGAGACACACGAAGAGAGGAACATTAGATCTGAGAAATCAAGTGCAAGTGTGGAAGAAGACGACCTGAAGAAAAGACCTTTTGCAAACAGATCTGACAGTGCTTCGAAATGTGAAACAAAGTCTGGTATTAATCAAGAAAAGCAGGAAAAACAGGTTATACCAGGACTTGGAGCTTATTCAGACTCAAGTGATTCAGACTCGTCGTCTGATGAATCTTAATGGAGTGGTCTCTGGTGAATGAACTTTTTCTCAGTGGTTGGAAGGAAGGTCATAAAACAGAATCTACGAAACAGATTCATTTAAGTGAATAAGTTGATAACGTTCTTTCTAAATGAAAGCCATGAAAAAGGAATGGTGAGCCATTGGAAAGGTTATCACGCGGACTGAACGCATGCAGTGTGTTTATGTTCAAGTTCAACATGGACGAAAACTTTCAAATGACAGTGAATTTTACTTTGCAGTTTTAGCTTTTCAATAAAAAACTTCAGAATCCAACAGGAATCCAACTTAGTTCAGTGTGGAAAGCAATTTGCCACTGAATTATATTTGCCATAATACTCTCTTTGATTGGTCCAAGTAACTCAAATCACTTCAGATAATCAAATGCAGTACTAAGTCTATCCTAACTTGGTTGCACGCGTTTTCGCGCGCACTGGTGCATGTTTACTTATTTGAAGAGTTCTTAATGGCTTTGTCTGTATTTTAATAGGCCGTCGCAACTACTTTGGACATTATCGAAAGGCTATTCTACTCCGGAACCTTTCAGATTCAACAAAATAAATTATATTTGAAACTTAAGCTGCATGAAGTGTAATGTTTTCCTAGGATGAAGTCTTGACAGACCAGACAGATCACCCGGTAAAGACTGTTGGTTAGTTCCAGATAAATCGGATGAAAATTTAATTTTTTTTGGGAGAGTCTGTATCATGATATCCTCCACGGCTTATGGCTTGAACTTGCAATGAATCTTTTTACAAAGCGCCTCCGTAACACTGACGATGCCAGTTTGGACTGTGTACAAAAAAATTGCGAGGTGAGTTAAAAACGGAATATTATGCCAACAGTTCCGTGAATTTTCGTTGTTAAAAACAGCTGAATTAAATGTCAACGGAATAAAGTTGCTAGTTCGTTCGAAGTAAAATCGCTTTCATTGACAGACGGAATGAATCGTCAGTTAGATCAGGGATACTAGGAGCGGCCACCTTCAATGAATGACAGCTTTATAAACTGAAACAACTATTACCAATTCGGGCTTTTACCCTTCTCGTCTGTATCTGCCGGAAGAGACTTGGACCATTGATGCAATATGGTAACTGAAAAGGAAGTCAGCTGTTGTACCAAACAAACGGTCTTTGTCGGGTTGTATATCGAGAAGCAACTTCAGAATCGTAATTAATTTAATACCTTGATAACAAAAACATTTGTTTCCTCTTCACTGTCAGCACTAGAAGCACGTGGAATTATCTGAGAAGCTTCTATGGGGCTAAGCTTTTTGTAAAATCCTCCATTTACTCGGCATCTGCTTCGTTAGTTTGTTGTTCCATCTCAATCGGTTCTACGTGGCGCTTCTTGCAAACGTAGCAACACGAAGCCACAAGAAGGGCTGTTACAATTCCTGTTAATGCAATGACGGCGGGAACGTTCATATTTTGATTCTTCTTAAAATTTTCGATTACGTGGACGCTTTTCGATCAAGTTTGAAAAACCCGTTTCATCAGGACTTTAAACTGGAGCTACAATTAACTTGTAACAGCAGACATCGAAAAGGACTGACATATCAAATATATTGCGGCTCTCATTATAAATCTCTAAAGTACAAATATCATTTACAAAGTGACAGAAATGTCTTATTTTAAAGCTAGTAATGTTTAAACAGAGCGTAGAGCAAATGAAAATGTAATAACGTGAAAGCGCTGCGAGAATTTTAATGAGCAGTTTCAATGAAGATTGTCGCACAGGATATGAAACTAAGTATTGGAAAGTGCTGACTAAAATTGCGTTTTCCTTGAAGACAAAAGCAGAAAAAAAACTTCGTTTTTGATTATAACAAAACACCTGTGGTACAATGAGGTTTTTCGGTTATGGCAACCTTCTGAATAAATCTTGCACAACTTTTCTGATTAAACCTAGCTCATACTTAAAAAAATATTGAGGCATGATTGGAAGCAAAACTGAATTTCCTTGAAATTTTATGGCTGTTATATCGCGTGTATTATAATTCAAATTTAAGACTTCGTTTGCTTGAATGGTCTTCAGCGAAACTTCAAAGTTGCCGCCTCCTCACAAGAGATTACAAGCAGTGTTACTACCAATTAGTTTCCAATAAAAACGCTTCGGTGAAAGCGAGCCATTTTACATTTCTAAACAGCTTCGGAATGAATCGATATGATCTGTGAATATCTCTCTGGGATATTAAACCAGTATGCATATTCTCCATATTATTTTGTATACATTAACTAGGGTGCTGACAAGGAGAATTTGTCTAACAATCAAGAGCTTCTTGAGTTCGTGATCATTTGCTCTATTCTTTTGACCTCGCTGTTTCATTCAGTGGTGACAGTGCAAGGAGAGATTAGATGCCAGTCACACCTAGGAATTAAAGGGTTGATTGAACAAAACTCCTAAACTCAATGGTTTTAAAAATAAGGTATTTGAATCTTTCGTTCGCTGAAAAACCTTGAAAAAAGAACTTAACAGTTATTTGTTTGAAAAAGGTTAGATTGCAAAGCTAGGACTGCATCATGCATTATGAGGCCAAGCAGTAAGGTTTACTGGTTTAAGGTTTAATGTACTTGGGTTAGCGTGATTTTCGGCTGTGATTAACAATTGCTCTAATTGGTGAGTATCTAACCACGTTTTGATGAGAAATTTCTCTCGCAAGACCGCTGATGTACGGCTCTTTTTTGTATTCTCTGTTTATATTCTCTTGGCTTCAGTTATTCAGTTTTTACTTTCCCTCCCGACGTTTTGAAATTAAATCTTGTCAGCATGACAGTCTTATAAGAATGTAGGTCTGCTATTAATCTTTCAAAATCGATCAGCAAAATCACGGTTAAATATCCGAAGTCCTACTTATCATATCTAAAGCATTTATGTAGACATTTCTGTAGATATTTCTCCTGAGAGAACTATTCATATCCCGGTTGTAAATTTTTTTGTAACAAAATTCTAGAGTGAATTATTTTTTACTGACTAGTGATTTTTTTCTTAGTTGTGTTGGGTATTGTTGGTCAATATGTTAAAATTTGCTACATGATGTTGTTACAAATTGCGTAGACCGACGATATTTTACAAAATGCGTAGCTCGCTGTTGTCATAAAGTGCTGAAATAGCTTTTCCAAAATGCCGCCACCGTAATGACAAAATGCGTAGGTTCTCACAAAATGCGTCGTTGTTACCGGCCATGACTAACATCCTTTTTGTTTTGGTGGGGATTAATTTCAAACCCTGTTCTTGCACTAGTGAGTATCATATTTAAGGAAGTTTTCTTCATATGGGGAACATTTACACATAAAAACTCACGACTAAGTTTAGAGGTATCATGAAGTCTATTTATATTTGCCAATTATTCTCCACAGCAAAACCAAGACAAATATTAAAAAAATTAATCAATTTTCGGCCTTGATGTTCAATACAAAGATTTTTTCTTCGTTAGCCTCAGGTACACCACTGATAATGTCCGTAGCCACAATACTGTTTGCCTAATCATGGAATGAGATATGTTAGGTAAATAACGTTGATTGACACGATTAATCGGTCGGTAAACAGAAAATCAATAAGAAAAAACACAACAAAAGAATAAAAATTCAAAAAGGAGATAGAAAGGTGAATTGGAATTCTCTTAAACTCCAGTGAGCAGTATTTTCAAGAGGTTTGATTTTACGTAATGGCTTCAGTTTCAGATGGTCGATCGTTTACCGCATAACTAATTACGTCTCGCTGTGTGACTGCAATAACGTAAGTTAATGTAGGGTTTGACGTAAGTACCTAACAAAAATAAAGCCATTCCGAGGGAAGACAATATTTGTTAAGTTAAATATGACAAACTTACAATCTGCAGTACATGAAATGAAAGGGTATTTGGTATGTCGATAACCAAATGTCTCTCTTTACAGAAACTCCAAGAATAAAATTCTGTTTTGTGGTGTAGAAAATTCCTGCATGCTTCCTATTCGCTGAGAGATTAACAGACGCCCAAAGGAGAACGAGAATGTTGATGTTAGCAGCTGCTGCTATTGAGAGACACACTGTGTGTTTCTTCTAATTACATTATTGTATAAATTTTCAATTCGATATCGAAATAATGGCCTTGAATAAGTTTCTCCACATTTTGGTTTGGAATATTTTCATTCTGTATTCTTGCAGCGGTGAGTATGACATTACAAAGTTTTCCTTAAGTGAAGAGCGTCCGATTCGAACACTATCGATTAATTTCAGATGCACCATGTAGCCTTTAAGATTTAAACCAAAACTATGTTATCCCTAAAGCGGGTAAATATTTTAGAGTGATTCTCTGCTCAGAAAACAAGGTAAAGAAAGACAAAGAAAAAAACTTAATCAGTTTTCGGCTTCTTTAACATAAGTTATCACCTCGAACATGCTTCTTTCGTAAGCTTCCGATGCACCACATTTTGTAATAACACTACCGCTGACGCAATCGTACATAGAATATGAATTGAATTTATTTTAAGTATGTCAATTTGTAAGTAACACCAGTCTATTAATAATGTTAGAATTGTATTTTGTGTGTATTGCAAATGAAAAAAAAAAAATGGTGAAAGAAAAATCCAATTATGTTTATTTAAAACCCTCTACAGTATTTTGGTTTGAGATTTTCATTTTACGGCATTTCACAATGCAAAAATTAATTACAAGATGGGGAAACAAGAGAAGATGTTTATTGAATTTAGTGGCTGAAATGAAAACAAAATAACTCGTAGAGTAGCCTGAGAGTGTGGAATAAATTTCGATATGATAAAAACAATAACTACAATAAATAAAGTAAATGGATGACTCTTTTGTATGAGAATCAAATGATTCTCAACAGTGAAGCACTAAATGTGGTAATTGCAGAAAGTTAAACCTGGAAAGAAAAAGAAGGAATTGGATATTTGCGTTTCAGATGTCGATCGGGCTCGAGGGGGAAAGGTTTTACTTGGAAAGTATTTTTAATTGAAGATCAACTGATTGCTTAAGATCTATTGCATGTACTATTAGTGAAAAGTCTTTTATATTTTCGTTACAGGTAACGATTGTCGCAACATTGTTTTCAAAAAGCCAATAATAGGCAAGGCAATGGAAGGTCATGTGATCAAGAGTGAAGAGGTCACTAATGCAAGGAGCTGCCGAGTGATGTGTTATATAGAGCCAAACTGTGTGTCCATCAATGTTGGGCCGTCAGAGGGAGGGAAACACAGATGCGAGCTAAACAACGCCACTGTTGGAAACCAGTTTATGTTCTCTCTTGAAAATAGATCAGCATACACCTTCTTCGCTATCGAGGTAAAATATTACAAACGTTGATGCCTATATACGAGTTTGGAGCCTAGATTTCGTTTGCTGGGAACTGACTTATTTTTTTCAACCAGAATCCCTGCAGCAGCAGTCCATGTTTAAACAATGGCACCTGTCAAGCTGGATTCACCAGTAAAGGTTTTCGATGTCTCTGTCAGCGTGGATTCACTGGTGAATACTGCAGTAAAGGTGAAAGAAGTTTGTCAAAAGATGCGTTTGTTAATTCATAATTCTTTATACACCTAGCACCATG